TGATCCAGTAAAATCACATTTCTCAAGATGTTTGTAATGAAAGCAAAGGAGCAGTGCTATGGTTTGGGTCTGAATATCTGCTACGTATTAAGGGAATTGCTATTTAGCGCGCCGTTGCTGGGAGGTGATGAGGCCTTCAGGAGGTAAGACCCCATGAGAAGTCTACAGGTCATTGGGGGTTTGCTCCCAAGCAGTATTTGAAGAGCTTTTCTCTTCCTTTCCCACTTTTGCTTCCTAGCTATACAGTAAGCAATGTGCTTCCCCTGTCATTGTCACAAGGATGCCCATCATAGAACAGTGGATTTAACTGGCCATGGATGTACTTCAAAGCTCTTAGGCAAAAATATGTCTTTGCTCTTTTCAAGGTCATTGTATTTTGACTAAAACAGTGGGTGATGTAAGGAAGCTCAGATTAATATTTGTCAGGGTAAAATAAATGTAAATTGAGTTTTCAATTTCTGGATCAGAGATGGGAAATTAATCATAAGGGCAAGAAAAGGGGCATGATGGCTGGGAAGAAAACACTCTGAGGTGTAAAACCAAACATACCAAAAACAAAAACAAAAAGCCTTTGAGCAGTCAAGTCCCAGCAGATACTTTCCATTTCTCAATTATCTATTGCTGTCTGGACTTAACCCATCCCCTGAGGTATGTCAGGATTACAGGCTTCCAGTGAGCAGGTATCTACATCTATAATTAAAGTTGGCCACATGTACTAGACTCACACAAAGAAATTTGCTGTAAGTTTGTGCAGAGGCAAGTTTCTTGGTAATTTACCTACCTAAGCCTATATTGATGAATTGTACAATGTGATTCACATTGTAAACTTGAACCTACAATGCGTGTTCACACAGGGGGGCTCAGAAAGAGCCATATCTATGCTGGTGTAGGAGGTGGATTTTTGAAATCCAAGGAAAATTCTAAAAGCATGGCTATCCATACCCCCATCTTTTTTTTTCTTGCCACCCATCATTTTGATATTACCTGGGATTTGTACAAAATATAAAACACATGTTGGGTCGGGATTTAGGGTTTAGTCTGATCTCACTTCAGACCCTAGGGGATTTTATCACCTTCCTTTGGGGCTACTCCATTTATTTGGCTTCAGAAGTTCCTGAGTAAATGGGCAGAGCTGGGATATCTCTCAGCTCTTTGCAGAGCATTTAGTGGTCATTCAACCTTTAGATTTTCCTTTTTTCCCCCTTATATATGAAAGTTGTGATAAAAAAGTAAGAGTGGCTAGATGCTTTAGTGAAGTTAATTATTTTAAATGAGGGCAGGAGAATCAAACACCTGAGAAGAAAATGGCTCAGAAACTGGCAAGATAGCATTATGCCATGCTACAGTTGGTTGCTACATGGCTATTTATTTTTCTCCTGAGTAACATAAGAGCCATTGAGCTCAGAGGCCACGGACATCCTGTACAGGAAATAGATGGTGTGTGGAGGGTAGGGAGGGCACCCAGCAGTCATTCTGTCAGTGAATACTTCAGCTGGCTTCACTTGAATACATCAGAGAAGGCCATAAAGGGCTGGGAAACAGAGCTCTGCCTGGACAGCTTCCAACCCCATACGTAGCGATCAGGAAAAGCTCAGCTCATCCACCAGCATTTTATGTTTCCTGAGCAAAGAGCTGGCTTGGTGGGCTCAGGGTTAAGGAGTTTCTGCAGGTTTTATGGCGATACTAAAGCATTCTCTTTGTGTTTTCCTCTGTCGCTGAAGGAAGCCCTTGGGGGAGAAGCACAATTCAGGGGCTGCTGAGCTGATGATCTGTGTGAGGCACCGGTGTGAACAAAACCACCACCGTGCAGGCACAACTGCCCTGCCTCCTGGAGGTGTCTCACAAATGAGTGTGTGTGCTTGCACACACCGTCGGTCATGCGCATATATCAAACCTCAGCGGAAATGTGAAAAAAAAGAGACCTATACTTGGGGAGGTAGACACGTATATATGTGGGGAATTTTTTTTACTTTGACCACACAACAGAAAGAGATAGTTTTATGTGAAGGATATAACAGCCACCTTGTGAATGGTGGGGTATGGAAGAGTGAGATCCTCCCCAAACAGGACTAGAAATGTTTCCTTTCTCTCCATGTTTCTCCCCTTAATTTCCTTCTCTGCTCCTCTCTCCTCTCCCCTCAACTATCATCCTGATGTTTATAACTGGTCTATGGAGCGCTGTTTTTCAAACCCTTTAAGAAAAGCAAACAGCCATATTTTTTTTGGAAATGACAAACCTGTTCAAGGACAAAAGCCTAGACACTTATGTTAGCTTTTTGTTTTCAAACTAGAAAGAACATATTACACAGCTGAGCAAGCTATTGCCCCCTGAACTGGGAGAGTATGATTAAAGGTTCTTAAGCAATAGACACACGTTTGGTGAGGGCCATGCGAATGAACAAACGAAAAACAAAAACAAAGCAAAAAAAACTGTTCCATTCATTCTTGAATGAAATGAGTAACAAGGTAGTTCTGCTTCACCCTGATAGAGCAGCTCCACCTACTGTACAAAGCCTGCATTTTCTGCTTAATAATTGCACAGTGGATCCTCAGACCTACAGCACCAATTGCAAAATAGAACTGGTTTTGTAATTAATTGCCAACATTGAACGATAAGTCACTTCATCAGAATTTCCTTCTCCTAGTATTTTCATGAGTGAGGGTGGGTGATGTCCCCCCCACCACCACACACATGACTAGTCTTTCCTATTGAGAGTAGCAATTACGGAATGAGAGAAGAAGAGAAATACAGAAATATAAATATGGAAGATATATAGTAGCATAGAACATTGCTAGTGCCTGCAATGTCATTTATTCTGAAAATAAGTGATCTTTCCCATGTTTCTATAAAATCAATGGTGTGAAATTAATAGCTTCAATTGAACCACTGATGACATTTCATCCTGAGGCATAAGCTGATTCTTTGTCAAATGAATCTAGTTGTACTGAGTCTTTGTTGAATTTCCCCTTTTCTTCTCCCAATCCAACACTAACACTTAAGTTTACAGTATCATTTGAAAAGATGACACATATTTTTATATTTTATATTGTACCATATCTCTCTCTTTGTGAAGCTGGGGCCACTCATTATCCTGCAAATCAATTGAATTAGGTTATCTAGTTTATTAATAACATCAAATAAATGATAGTAAACACAGCACAGTCTTGATGTAATTCTTTTATCATTCTCTGTTGTTCGTTCAAGGTCTTAACCTTTCAATGCACTCTTGAAGATGATTCGTCTTGTCTTGAGGATATGGTATTATCACAAAACTGACTGATAATTACTTTTGCAGCTTCCATCATACATGTTAGGTAGCATTTGTCAACTCATGATTAATTAAATTATATTTCAGTACAATGTCACACATTCAAAAGTTTGTGTTTGTTTCTCAAATGTTTGTCCTCCAGATAAATTGAATAAGATATACTTTGTTCACAAATTCTGTGTGAGATCCATAATTATGCAGTTGATACTTATTAGAAACTTAGACGTGTAAGTACTTAAAGGCTTTCTTTTAATATTTATTTACATATATATATATGAGTGCTCTATCTGCATACATGACTTTATGCCAGAAGAAGGCATCAGATCCCACTATAAATGGTTGTGTGACACTATGTAGTTGCTGGGAATTGAACTCAGAACCTCTGGAAGAGCAGCTGAGTCATCTCTGCAGCCTATGGCCTTCAACTTTCATCTTGACGTTAAGAAAGGCTGTTTGGGTGCAGAGAGATGGCTCGATGAATAAAATTTTTGCTGTGCAAAACTGAATATTTTATTTTGGATCCTATCTCTATCACTCCTTCCTTATTTAAAATATGCAAACAAAAAGCCACGCATGGTTATTGACACCTGTATTCTCAATGCTGTAAAGCAGAGAGAAAGAACAGAACCTAGAGCTCATTAGGCAGAGTTTAGCTGGTGGATGGATTCCAGTTTCCATCTGAGATTGTCTCAAAATGTAAGGTGGGAGCCATAGAAAGAGATGCATGTTAATCTCTGTATGCTAAACAAGAACAGAGGCATGTACACATGTACATACACTGTGTATCAACACACACACACACACCCTGACACACACACTTATTTTAAAACACTCTTTGAAACTCTAATAGTGTTGAAAGTTTGACTTTCTCATTATATATCTGCATTTTAGAAAAACATATCATATTTGTAATAAATTGGACCATTCATTGACAGTTTTGGTGTCTGGTAAAAGTAGAAAATTCAGGGAGATGACTTCCTAGAGGATAAACTGTTTGCCAGAAAGATAGAGGAAAGAAAACTTCTAGAAGAGAAAATATCTCAAAAGCTCTACGGATGAGAAAGTAGGCCAAGACAGGAATATTTTAATGCACTTAGAACTCAACATTGTAAACTATTTTCTAAGGTGGTTCTGAATAAGTGTGCAGATGTTGGATCATGGAGTATTCTTCATTAGTTTGAACTTATTCACCATGTGATGATGGTGCATGGCTGGCTTTTGTTGCTTTATATATCTTCAATAAGGAAACAGAAACAATGAAATGGGATTCAGACTGACTGGAAAGTTCCCATCCAGATTATAGGAGGAGTATATTACCTGAGTTGAAGGATGCAGGAGGAGCATAAACTAAGGGGAGACCAGGAATCTATCCTAGGGATGACAATGCATGATGAGCAGAGTAAAAGGAAGATTGATATCGAATGGGCCACTCTAGGAGTAGAGCTGATTTGATGCACAAGTTTCAATGAGATCTTTGGGAGAATTCCAGCAAAACTTCTGTCTCCTGAATAGAAAGTATCTGACGGAATCATTAACTGACAGACAGAGAGTGCCCATATTGGAGAAGAGTGAAGCAGAAAGGTAGCTTATTGTCATGTCTGACACATATCTAGGTGCAAAGATCCATGAATCCTGGATAGGATGTAAAGTTCACTAAAAATATTGATTCTCTATTCAGGGACTCTTTCTCATCTTTCCCACTGTTCTTGCTCCACATCCCCATCATCACAGAGGACTGGTATGAGCAGCTACACCCCCTCATCCTTACCCTGAAGGAGTGCATGGGAGAGGTGGTGAGCCGTGCTAAGCAATGCCTGACGTTTGTGCTGCTTCAGGAACTAGCCTACAGCCTGCCCCAGTGTCTGATGCTGACCCTGAGAAGAGACATCGTCTTCAGTCAGGCGGTGAGTGCCCACTGTTGTTTGTAAATACAGTGTGAACTGCTGATGTCCCATCCTTTATTGGGGTAGGGCTTTTTGCATGGTTTCATTTTTAAATATCCTTTCCGAAATTCTGGCACCGTGTTTTGTTCATATGGATAAATAGGCTGAATACATCATGGACAGCTTCTGAACCTTTGATATTTCTTTGTGAAAAGATATAGCTCAATGTGAAATTAATATTTGCTTGAACAGTGGATGGACTCCGGGAGAAAGACACAATGCTTCCTTGAATCATTCCCTAGGACAGCCTATGTGTGCAAAGAAAGGGACTGTCCTCTTGTAGTGCAAGTGATGGCCAAGAGCTCCACAAACAGGGCTTTCTCAAAAATCTCGGGACAGGGTTTCACAGCGATCTCTTCTTTCTTTCATCAAAGAAGTTTGCAAGGTTACAAGACTTGCTTGTAAATGTTTGCAGGACAACTCCCTTTGCCTATATAAAACCCTAATCAGGACTCCAAGACCAGTTCTACGCCCAGGGCAGGGCTCATTGCTTTCCTTTTGCTTCTCTCTCTCCCTCTCCCAACAATTCATTTTCAGAGGTAAAGTACATGGAGGGAAGGAGAGACCAATTCTTTACTTTGTAAATTGTCATTTCAAAGGGGGTATTTTAACCAAATTACCCATTGCCAGTGTATTATGTCATTAGTGGTCCAGTGGCAGATGGAGCTAACCAGGACTTTCCCTCTCCCCTAAGCCAGCTTATTTATGATGCTCTTTCAGCAACTCTAGTAACATGTGCAAAAACACAGGAATAGCACAATTTGAAAATCTTAAGAAAATTTAGTGGGACCATGGTTTCAGACAGTAGATATAAAATTCAAAGATTTCCCACCTTGATTCTAAAATCCATTTATCTAGCTTCCTTTCAATTCTGTATTCCCAAGACCTCAGACAATGCAACCTCAGATCAAAGACCATCAATTTATTTTAATAGATATGTGCAAATTCTAGCAGCTTTGTTATATACACTTGAGGAATTTTAATTAAATCATTGAAGTCTCAAAAGTCTGAAGATATTAAAAAACTGAAGTGATAAGGTAGCTAACCCCAGTAAATTTCTCTACTCTTTGCTTAGCTTGCAGGACTGGTATGTGGTTTTATCATCAAATTGCATACAAGTCTACATGATCCCTACTTCCTACAGCAGCTTCACACAGTGGGCTTGATAGTACAGTATGAAGGACTACTAAGTACCTATAGTAAGTATTTCATGGGTTCGTATTAAGATCTTATTGCAGGTCAGGGTGATAACCTATAAGGTTTTTCAAATAAGATAAAAAATAAAAAGCAAACCTTTTCTATGCCACGTATTACAGAAATGATGTAGCTTCTAACTTTGGTACTCATTCACCCTTAGGATTTCCTTGGGATTCATATTGCATTTTGAGAATGGACTTGTGGGTTTTTGCACAGTGGACTTGAGCAGACACCTGGATATTTTGTTTGTTTGTTTATGTCTTTTTTAAAGAGAGACTTATTGACAACATGGTTTCATTGACTGGATTTTAAAAACACAATAGTCTCATGTCTGTAGCTGGGCTTTTCAATACAGGAGCTCCATGTGTTTGTGGAGTGCTTGAAATTCAACTAGTCTAAATCAATGTGTCCTAGACATGAACATCAGATTTCAAAGACTAGCAAAGCTAGCATTTTGTATCAACTATTGCTTTACATTTGTATCTAGTGTTTTTATATATTTGGGTTGTATACAATTATTAAAATGAATGTTGCTTTGTTTCATTTTTTCTTGTGAAGAAATGAAGATCAGAAAATCGGCAGATATATATGTGTGTGTGTGTGTGTGTGTGTGTGTGTGTGTGTGTGTGTAGCCTGCATCCTATTTCTATTGGATTATGCTAATATTGAATGTTTATTATGTTTCCAGGCAGTATTTTTCTGAGTTTGAAGAGAAAATTAGAATTAGGTAATTGATAATCATGAAACGATCAGTAAAGCTCTCTCTAACCTAAAATATCAAATGAGAGGCCTCTCAATAAAAAGATGTCTAAATGATGCTTTGCTATACCTCCCAATAAAGTTGAACACTCTTCTTCCCTTCAAGGGAGCATTGGCTTTTGAATCCATTCCTTTTTCACTGCTGGAAGCCTTCATAGCCGATCAGGGAAAGTATGCTGAATGGACTCACTGCATTCAGGAACTCATTCATAAATTAGAGAAAATTCCAGCAGGGAGGCACAGGAGGGAGCAACATTTTATTTTAATAGTCTATTTGTAATGAGGTGGTACGTTTCTCCCTGTGCAGGTGATGAAATCGGAATGCTAGAGGACATGGCCGTTGGCATTTCAGATTTGCGGAAAGTAGCATTTAAAATAACTGAAGCCAAGTCTAGTGATGACCTACCTGTTCTCACAGGAAGGCGGTGAGTGGTACCCCTGCTCAAAGCCCAAAGGAAGTCACCCTCATGGTATTTTGTAGGCAAATTTCCTTGGATAATTCAGGTTCTGCTTGGGATCTGTCTTCTGCTTTCTTCTTCTTCTTCTTCTTCTTCTTCTTCTTCTTCTTCTTCTTCTTCTTCTTCTTCTTCTTCTTCTTCTTCTTCTTCTCCATCTTCTTGTGAGAAAAAAATGCAGATGGGGTAATCCAAGGAGATCTTGAAAATCTCCTAGAAGTCTCATGAGTGTTTGTAAAATGGTTACGAGGTTAAACACGATAATGTAGCTTAAATATAAGAAATTTGCAGCAATGGTGGCATCCAAAGACTATGCTTCTTCGTTAGTGTCTGGTCCATAGCTCTGGGTGTTTTTACTTTTGCGGGAATTGCTCAGCTAATAGCCTCATAATTCTTGAGATGACTTTAAATTAAATTCAGTTAAATGCAGCAACATGTAAGGAAGGATATATTCTTATGTCGGGTACATACTCCACCATTTTTCTTAATTATTTTTGACAATTCACTTTCAGATTGTGAGCTTTCCGAGAACGGTTTTAAATAAATATCTTCTAAGGTCAGAATATGACAGGCAAAGTTCCAGAAACAATAAAAAAATGATGGCATGTAAAAGAGACTTTTAATAGAAGAATTATACCACATAATAAGTTATTGTAATCAGAAGTCACCCAGATTTAATTGATCTGGTGCTAGCACATATAAGTATTACATGAGTGACTTCAATTCTGAAAGAGTGTCAGGTCACACCATAAACATGTGTTAGAGAAAGATGGATCAAAGACAAAGAAAACATACAGTAATTACTTGGAATTGTGTGTTAAATGTGTATACAAAATAGCCCATGTCCTCATGTGTAGTTGAAAGAAAGTTCTGGCACATAAGCATAAAGAAAATGGATCCCTACGAAAGTAGATGTCTCATCTGAATATTAATGAATCCTTTGCTGTTTATTGGAGGAAGTAAGTGAATAAAAAATTTTTCACAAACCACCTGGAAAACAGCACAGCTCTGTACATTATTCTGATGTTTATTGCCAAATAAGACAAAGTGATAGCTTCTCTCACAATTCATGGAGAAGTTTACCAGACCATTTGAGCAAATGAGGAAAAGGATGCCCAGGCTGAGGACATTCCTCCAGCTGCATTGATGTTCAGAACTTGTCGATTTAAGTGCAGAATTCCCAGAAGGACACATCCTCTCCTCCAAGAGCCACCTCAACAGCTGTCTGTTAGGGAGGAGGCTTGGTTACTAGAATTAATTGTACACCAAGCTCTAAGACCTTGGTTTGATCCTCAGCCAGGAAAAACTGGGCCTGGGTTCCATCACCAGCACTGTGTGTGGTGTGTGTGTGTGTGTGTGTGTTACTTTTTCGTGGCTATGATAAAATATCCCTAGAAAGGCCATTTCTGTGGAAAAGGAAAGAGAAGGCTTAATTTGTCTTATAGTTCCAGAAAGGAGACTGTACGCCATGACGGGAGGAATGCCTGGTTGTCCGGAAGCAGACTGACAACATTCAATCTGCACATAGGTCACAGGTGGCTCACAGAGACAACTGTGAGACACAGTGTAGCGTAGCATGCTTGAGCCTAGCTCCTTCAGCATGGCTTCCTAAGGGTCCCATAACCTCACAGGCAGAACTACCAGCTGGGGACCAGGAGCTTAAATACATGTAGGGACATTTCTCCCTGAAAAACTCTCTCTCTCTCTCTCTCTCTCTCTCTCTCTCTCTCTCTCTCTCTCTCTCTCTCTCTCTCTCTCTCTCTCTCTCTCACACACACACACACACACCTTTATGTTTTATTTTAAATTAGGAACAAGCTTGCTTCACATGTCAATCCCCTTGTCCCCCATCCCCACCAATGCCCCAACCTCCCACCCTATCCCCCTCTCTGTGCCCCAGGGAGGGTGAGGGTCTCCATGAGGGATCTCCAAAATTTGTCATATCATCCTGGGCAGGGTCTAGGCTATCCCTCATGTGTCCAGGCTGAGAGAGCATCTCTCCATGTGGAATGGGCTCCCCAAGTCCATTTGTACGGCAGGGATAAATACTGATCTACTACCTGAGGCCCCACAGATTGTGAGGCCTCCTCACTGACACCCAGGTTCAGGGGGTCGGGATCAGTTCCATGCTGGTCTCTCAGTCATCAGTCTGGGGTCCATGAGCTCCCCCTTGTTCAGGTCAGCTGTTTCGGTGGGTTTCTCCAGCCTGGTCTTGGCCATTTTGCTTATCACTCCTCCCTCTCTGCAACTGGATTCCAGGAGTTCAGCTCAGTGTTTAGCTGTGGGTGTCTGCTTCTGCTTCCATCAGTTACTTGATGAAGGCTCTATGATGGCATTTAAGGTAGCCTTTCCACTATTGCTTAGATTGCCAGTTAATGTCATCCTTGTAGATCTCTGGAAATCTCACTAGTCCTTTAAAAGATAGCACCATGAAAATGTGAAAACAAGCCACAAACTGAGAGAAAACATGTAAAAATCATATGAATTTTAAAAGACTTGTTCCCAAAATATATTAAGACATTTCATATCTCAGTTGTAACTTAAAATATGATTTAAGGAAAAATAGAGTACCTTAATTTGTTATTCAGCACCAAGTCTTTTTTTTTTTTTTGGTTTTTAGGAGACAGGGTTTCTCTGTATTGTTTCGGAGGCTATCGGTCCAGCCCGGCCTCGAACTCACAGAGATCTGCCTGCCTCTGCCTCCTGAGTGCTGGGATTAAAGGCATGCGCCACCACTGCCCGGCTCAGCACCAAGTCTTAAGCCCTGAAATTGTATACATACATGCAACCCTGTATAGATTCAGCACATTGCATGTGTATATTTTTCATATATATCAATAATAATCAAGAAAAAAGAGGCCATGAATTTGAGGAGTAACATGGATGTGAGGACTTTAGGGAGAAAAACGAAGAAGGGAAGTAAGAAATGATACAATTGTACTTTAATTAGGAAATTTAAAAGGAAATAACTAAAGCATTTTTAAATCAAATGTAAACTTACACCATAATTCTTAATTATATACCGAAAAGGAAATGAAGCATTTACCAACCCAGAAACTTTTACCTAAATATTCACCATAAGACTATTTTTTCTTTGTTTATTACTTTAATTTTAAATAGCTTGTTTCACATGGCAATCCCAGTTCCCTCTCCCTCCCCTCCTCCCGCACACCCAACCATCCCCCCCAGCCTCCCACCCAATCCCCACTTCCTTCCACATAGGGGATATCTAGAGTCTGTTGTTTCACTCAGGGAAGGGTCCAGGCACGCCCTTAAGAGTCCAGGCTGAGAAAGCATCTCTCTTTGTGTTATGCACACACAATGTCCGTTTGTATGCCAGGGATGAACACTGATCCACTGCTCAGGGCCCCATAGGTTGCCCAGGCCTCCTCACTGACTCTCACACTCAGGGTTCTGAATCAGTCCCATGGTGGCCTCCCAGCTGTCGGTCTGGGGTCCAAGAGCTCTCCCCTGTTCCTATCAGCTGTCTCTGCTGGTTTTGCCAGCCCTTTCTTTGCCAATTTGCTCTTCGCTCCTCTTTCTCTGTCGCTGGGTTCCTTGGGTTCAGTTCAGTGTTTAACTGTGGGTGTTTGCATCTGCTTCCATCAGTCACTGGATGAAGGCTCCCGAATGGTTATAGACATCAAGTTCATTATCAGGAATGGGCATTTAAGGTGGTCTCTCCACTATTGCTTAGCTTGCCAATTAGTGTTATCCCTTTAGATCACTAGAGGTCACTCTGGTGCCTGATCTGTCTTCTAACCTATGATTCCCTCTATTTCCCCTGTTCTACCTCCCAATCAGTCTTCCTGTTCCCCCATGACCTAATCTCTCTTCCTCTTCTCTCCCTCTCTTCTTCCCAGTTCCCACTCCCCCCCCCACCCCTCGCCTTGTTATGCGTGATCTCTTTGTCCACTCATGAATGCAAGGAAAAAATGTGACATGATGTACGAATATACTAAAATGTGACTTACTAATATACATTACCAACACTTTGTGCAATATGGATGACATTTAAATATGAACTGACTCATTCATGTCTTAATATCCTTGAAAGAGTTGAAATAAACATCAATCTATTAGAAATGATCCAAGAGAAAGTAAACAGAGAAAATTAGGTGCTGCTAATATTCCTGACTGCAGGAGTCATGGTGCTTTCAGTTTTCTCAGCCATCACAAGGAAACAACAAATGTGAACCTATAGCCGACTTCTTTGGGCCACTAACCAGCTACTACGTAAAAACACAGACTTATTATTAATTATGAATGGTCAGCCATAGCTTAGGCTTGTCTCTAGCCTGTTTCTATTAATCTATGTGCTACTCCAAGGCATCTATGTACTGTCCATCCTGCTTTCTTGCTTTCCTGTTTCCTCCGTTTCTGGCTGGCTGCCCCCTAGTGGACTTGCTGGCTTCCCTTTTCTCTCTGTCTACTGGCCCTTCCTATCTGTCTTTTGCCTAGCTATTGGCTGTTCTGCTTTTAATTAAACCAATTGGGAACCTTAGGCAGGCAAGGTGAAACAGCAGCACATCTCTACATAGTTTAAAAAAAATGAAGCATAAACATTGCAACATATCTTTATGAAGTTATTCTTCAACACAAACAAATACAACACATCTTTACATAGTTAGACAAATACTGTATTCCACAACATAAAACTATGCTCAGTAGTGTTTAACAAAATGTTTTACTGGAGAATGTAGAAGGATTGCCTAAATTAGACTCACTCTTTGTCCTATTCTTTTTCCAATGTATGCATTGTGATCCTGCCTTCTCCATATACTTCTGGAAGTACATGGCTTTTTCAAGTTCCTAGGATAAACCCTTTACACTCGAGTCTTACCCGCTTCAGATAACAAGTGCAACATGTGTAAGGAGCTGAGCAATTTTAAAGCTACTAGATTTTCAACACTGAGTAGTTAGGACCACTTTTAGTGGAATTTTCCAATAAAAAGGTTTCTGTTTTCTGCAAATTTTTCAAAAGAATCACAAATGCCAAAGGTTACATATTGAATTATTTAAACAATTTTACTTCCAAAAGCCAAAGACAGTGTTGGATTCTAACCTGTTTTTCTCCAAATAAGCCACAAACAATGGCAAGAACCATTTCTTCCCTGTCTTTTGCTGTCTGTAGTGAACACTATGTGGTAGAGGTCAAGCTTCCAGCTACAGTATTTGAGTCACTCCCTCTGCAGATTAAAGAAGGCCAGTTGCTTCATGTGTATCCCGTTCTGTTTAATGTTGGAATCAACGAGCAGCAGACTCTTGCTGAGAGGTAAGCCTCATGAGAAGGATGGTGTTCAGTGCTTCTTTGAAATGCCCTATTTCTGCTTAAAGCATATAGACATACATATGTGTTGCATTTTGCTTTCAGCTAAAACTCTAGATAGTTACTTCTTGTAACAAGGATTTGTGCCCCCAATTAAATTTGAATGTGTCAAAAACTTGAGAAACATATTTGACAGCAAGGGCAAAATGTGAACATGTCCTATGAGTGTGACCTACAGAGCAGTCTCAGACTCAAATTTGTAGCTTTTTAAAGAGCGTGTTAAGATATTCAAGGATCAGTTAGCCTCTAGACTAGACTAGATTTTATCACCTATATGGTTGTAACTGTACAATGTGTCACTTGATTTTGAAAACATTCTCCTTTCCTCTATCTCCCTTGTAAGTTAAAAATGTGTCTTTTAGTTACCTAGAAACCTCGTAAGAATGATAGGATTTGAGAAACAGACAAAATTACAGAATAGGGTGAAACGCTGAATAAAGGAGGACAGTCAGTTTGCTTGGCACTCTGAGGTCAACATGCTATTGGTCCACCCCCCCTGTTATTTTTTGATTTTAAATTTTGGCCTCTCCTAGCAACTCTTACATGTGATATATATTGCATAAATCCTATAATTTAATATACATCCAAAATAATAATAAATCCTATAACATTTTATTTAATATACGTCCAAAATAATAAATATATTATTTTATATGACCATTCTTAGTTAATAAATGCTAATTGTATAGACCAGCTTTGACTTGTATAAAGATAGAATACTAGACAGTTTAAATATTAAAATTAATTCTTTACAGTTAAGAGGCTGGGAAATCCATGAACCAGTTCCAGAGCATTTTTTTTTGCTTACAGCTCTTTTTCTATATGCTCACATTACCTCTACTTTACACATGTAGGAGAAGGGCAGTGATCTTTGATATCACATATCAAAAGGACACTAATCCTGTGGAGTCAGAATCCACCCTCATATCATCATTTATCTCAATTATTTCCTTGGAGGCCACACCAATAAACACAGACACACCGAAGGATGCAGATTCCACACACGAGTTTGTGAGAACATAAAACCTTAGTCCAACAATCCCCCAGATGCTTATGATATCTGGCCTAGTCAGAAAACCCTAAGGAAACACTCCTGTGTGTTTCTGGATACTGTATTCCTGTTCTTCAGGTATAATTTTGATATAAATGCAGAGTATGGGTTCCTCCAGGTACTCCTTTGCCATAAGGAGAAATGACTATCGTCCTTTAGAGGAAGTATGTCAGTAAATATAACATAAATTTTGTATCATGAAATAATAAAAAATGCTGAATACACAAACCTAGTTAAGAAAGAATTTGATTCTTTCTTGTAGGGAGGTGGTTCTCACCCTGCGGGTAGTAATCCCTCTGGGGTCACATATCAGATATTCACACTAAGATTCATAACAGTAGCAAAATTACAGATATGAAGTAGCAACAAAATAATATTTCAAGGTCACCGCAACAAAGGGAACTGTACTGAAGTTGAGAACCACTCTTGTAGGGAAAGTTGCTTTTCACTGGCTTTGAAGGTGGGATAGGAATTCAAGCTGACATGGAAGGTAAGACAGAATACTCAGAGGAAGACAACATGGGGAAAGTCTTATAAGCATTATAATGCTTAGATAAGGGAGAATGGTGTAACTGCTTCTCATAAATGCCTTCTCAAGCATTATGTAGAGTTAAGATGCTACAATAGATGGGGCTGGATTTGGTTTTTATGGTGAGATGAGAAACATTAAGTTTTGTGACCTGATATGATGAAATATGCACTACATTAACTTATCTAACATTTAACATACTGCACAGTGGGCTGTCTGATACACAGATGATATTAATGAACGTTGCTGGTTGAAATAATGTCCTAGAAAAAATGTTAAATTATAAGTGGAAGGGAAAAGAGGGGCTGGAGTCATATCACTAAAATGTCTGCAAAGGACTATGAGAGGAATTACATCTTGTATAACAGTAGTTATAAAAGTAGAAATTTGAAAACTGTGTTGGGTAATGGATTTACCAGGAGAAAGAGGGAATCTAACTTACATTTCAAATCTGAATTTGTGGTAGAAACTGCAAGCAGGTTTAGAAATAATCAATAGAAGAAAAATGATTTCAGTTTGTGGTTTAGAACAAATAGTAAATCTATACTGAGACTTCAGTTGACACTGAAGAAAAACTATATGTTTGTAGATTTGGGTGGAGAAAAATATCTGTCTATATTTATATCTATCTATGACACTGAGACACAGACAAAGAGAAGACAGACGCAGTGGAATACAGGAACAAGCTTTGTGATGGAGGAGGATGAGGAGCTCTGGTACACAGCTGTTAGATTTCACAGTCCCACACTGACTGTGTTCAGGGTGAAGTCCTCTCCAGGAGACTTCAGGGATATTTACTTATGCACCCAGTAGTCGGCAGACAGCAAGATGGCTTCCAGGCATGGTATCCCAGATCTCTGTGCAAGCATGAACAGGAGATATTGAATGGATAGACAGATGGAATGCAGCCTTGCAGAAGAGGCACTGAGTGGGTTAGAAAAAAAAAAGATCACTATGTTACTTTTTTGGTGCCTTTTTATATCCCATGACTTCCTTCTTCATTTTGGGGGGGGGTTCTTTCTTTCCTTTTTTATTTTTGGGTTTTGTTTATTTGTTTTTGCTTTCCTATTTTCAGGTTTGGTGATGTTTCTTTGCAAGAAAGTATCAATCAAGAAAATTTTGAACTTGTTCAAGAATATTATTCAATATTTATGGAAAAGATGCCTCCTGACTGTAAGTATATGAGTTGTAGAAAGCATTATCATTCGTTTATTAACAGTCCTAAGGGGAGGCTGAAGACAAGCATTGTAACCAAAGCAGCATGGGGTGGAGAGTGAGAGGGATTTTAAGACTTTGTGAAGAAAAGGACTGATTGCCAAAGGGGAGTGCACAAAGCCTGCTTCCTTGCTTTGGTTCCTGTTGTCAATGTGCCTGATGCTCATGCTGGAACTCTAAATGTAGTCCCAGTAGAAAATGCCAAGATTTAGAAATATGGTAGTTAGAATTAGAAATCTCAACTGAGAATACATTATTTTCATATAAATTTTTAACGCTTAAATATCTTGCTCATTTTATTTTAATCTTTTGACATATGAGATATGGTTCATGAATATAAAGAGGAAGACAGGTAGAATACATGTTCTCCAGTATAATGATAATTTTTATAAATTAAGGGACAAATTTATTGTTTTATGTGAAAATTTTAGACATTGAAGCTGATAGACATTTTAAATTTTGAAAATGTTTTCTGTTATTCATCTCTGTTGCTCTTTCTTCCACATGAGGTCTTGAGTATTTGAATTTATGGACTGACCATCTATTTCTAGCATAATTCTATTCAGATATGTGTACTGACAGGAAACTAAGTTTAACAAGTGTGAAATATTAAATTTTCACCAAAAGCCACAATCAAGGTCTAGTTGTCATCAAACTACAAGCACATTGTTCATTGGTCTGGGTCTGATACATGGGCTGTCTTTAGTAGTAGAATATTGAGGCCTTTTCAGAACACAATGACTATTGTTTCATCACATTACAACGATCCATGGATACACGTGCAGACCCTACGGATGGTTGAATTCATGGTTGGAGATCCCAAGAGTGGGAAAGATGACTATGTAGCCAACTGTCTTAACTTGAAAAATGATTATGTAAGTTTAAATGTATTGGACTTATTATTCATTGAAAGTATGATAGCTTTTTAATTTTTTTATTCTTTGAAGTTAAGATATGGTTATATTATTTGTGTCTTCTCTCTCTTTCCATTAGACCTTTTCATATACTTCCTTACTCTCAAATTCATGGCCTCTATTTCTTTAATTGTTCTTAAATATATAGACACAAACACATATATTCATATATATTACATTATTACATATATTCTATATGCCTTAATATATATAATATATGATTGTTGTTAAATATACACCCACAAACGTACACATTCTTACATATCATCTTACTGCATATACTATATATACCTTAATTTATAGTATATAAAATATATATAGTTATATATATTAAATTAACCTGATCATTCTGTACAAGGTTGCTTGTAAATTTGTGGTTTTGAAGCTGACCACTTGGTATTAGATAACCATCTTGGGGCCTCTTTCCTAGTGAAGACTCAACATTCCTCAATTGCCTGAAATTCTTTATTAGAGACTGAGGCAGCATGTGTATTGGTGTCCTTGTTCAGGTCTTGTTTAGGCAGCCATGCTAAAGAGATATATGGGTGTAGTTTCTCTGATATTTCTTGAAGACTGAATCTCAGATCAGACTTCCTGTCCCTTTGTCCCCTCTTCCCCTATGATCCTTTTGGTAAAGAAGTTGTGTTGTGCAGGTATAACTTGGGGCTGATTATCCAAGTCAGTTGTTCTCTCTATTTTGATCAGTTGTAGTTTTCTATAATGGTCTCTGTCTGCAGCAAGGCGTCACATCTTTGATGAGGGGTGAGACTTACCTGTGGAAGTCATGGATCTTCAAGGAGAACCTACAACTGCCACTTTACAAAACCCAAGAAAATTTCTACCTACATCCTCAATATTAAGCCTTATAACCACAGATTGAACCAATTTAAATTGACCCCATTTCATCTGATGGGTTAAATCTTAGTATATTTTATTTTCCCTACTTTGATTCCTCTATTTTGAGACAAAACTATCAGATTTTCAGCAGGATGGAGTGGTGTTATCATCATAGTTACACTCTGAAACAAAAATGCAGCACAATTCTTTGTAATTAAAGGAACATATATGGGTTTTACCTCCGGTGGTGATGTCACAACCCAAAGCAGAGCTTGGGTGGCATTCCTTTCCAAAAGGCGACCAAAGAGCTGTGTTAGGAGTATGGACAGGGGCTAAAGAATTTGCTACAATGGCAAGAACTACCATTCTGATAGGAATGACCATTCTGAGTCATCTCTTTAACCCACAAAATCTATTATTATTTTTGTAGCAACCCTCAGGAGTTTATATTGAAGGACAAATAATTTATCAAATCCAATACTTGCTTTTATTAATGCATTATGCATATGTTGCCTGCGAAATCCATAACCCTGTGTTTTAAATGACTTCTAAGTGAAATGCTTGGATTCTGTGTTTTCTAAGTAAAAATTACTTCTTCTCCGAGGATGTCATTAATCTCAATGGATATCCTCTGCTTTTGTCACATCAAGGCTGTGATGGATCTTCCCCAGGCCTAGTTTTCATTTAGTATTAGACAGTTTCTACTTTTCTTTTACTCATAAAGGAAAATTTGGGAGCAAATATAATCTTCCCCAAGTATTCACTTATTCCTAGTAGATCCAGTGGACAGTCTCAATTCAGTATTCTATGAAATACTGTTTTCCTTCAGTAGCTGCTCTGAATGTTACTGAGCATTTACCCTTTAGGTGTTAATAAGTAAGAGTATGGTGTATAATTAAAGTGGCCTTGTTAGCCTTGGCCATGTCTTTCTGAGATGCTCAGTCCAGTCTAGGGAATTAATCAGCTAATCTGTTTAGAAATATCCATGTTATTGAAATAACTGTTTATTTAAGTTTATGTAGAATCCTATAATCTCATCTTACCTCAACTGAAAAAAAGGCCATTATTGGAAGGCTTAGTGGGCAGGGAGGGGGCTCTCCACAGTGAGCAGTCATTCTCCAGGCGGTTGTTGCTGAACGTTGGACTGAAGCAGCTAATATGTACCAGAAATAAAGACCAGGTACCCAGGGCATTGATAAATGTCTACAGGGGGTTGTTGTGGGTTCCTCCTTCTTGTTTCTTTGTGCAGTGTTGCAGTTTTCAGATGTTTGTGCTTTCTGTCCTGACACCAAGGCCACTGTAAGCCTTCAGGAGCTGTTTCCCCTCAGGCCCTTCCTCTGATAGTCTCCTGTACTTTTGATCAGCTGGGGCATTTCCAGCGGGCAGGGTTAGCGCTATGCTCAGTCGCAGGGCTTGTTGCTGTCCCTGTCCTGCCTCCCTAAAGCATTAAAGCTTAACTTTTGCATTCAGGATAAAGTCAAAGAAAGAGCTTTTTTCTAATACACTAGCACATATAGCTTCATGTTTCAAAGTCACCCTAATGATGAATATGTATTCAAGAGCTTAGAAGGGACAAGAGAAGTGTTCTCCTGTCCTTAAAGGATGAAGGACTGACTGCTTACTTATGGCATCCAAAGTGACAGCTCTTTTTCTAATAATAATTTTCAAGCATCTTTCTTTTACCCAAAAATGCAGTGAATGGTATTAACGCCCATGTCTGCTAGGAATTCACCACAGATGGACTTCCTTCTTCAAACAATAAGGGTGGCTGTGCAGCATTGAGAGCTAAGACACTTTTGTTTTAGCTGTTCTAAACTCATTAAAACATTTCACATCCTTGTCATATATAGTATTTCATCCCTTATAGCAATAAAAATTGCATATAATATACTTTGTTGTAGAAAATCTCAGTTTTGCAACAAGAATAAGTATAATATTGTCATATATTTCATCATACATATGCAATTTTGCTGGAATTCTCACATTCAATTTAGCAGACATTGTCAGAAATGATATTATTTATAATACTCTGTGTCAATCACCAGAGAGGATGAAGATGAGTAAGTCTGTGCCTGAGTAGCTTGCAGTCTAATGAGTCAATGTAATCAAGGGATAATCTACATTACCTCCAAACCACTTTTCAGAAGAAAGTGGTTTTGGAGTGATGGATTTTTCCTGAATAATTTAGCGCTATGGTTTTGCTGTTGTTGCTTAACGTTCTCCAGTGTGGTTTCTGACACCTGTGGCTATGCATGGTTATTGCATTCAGTTTTGCACTTAGAAAAATGAAGCATCCTACATAACCCCCCTTGACAAAAATGAGGAAATAAAATAGGAATCTAATGTTTTATATGGAATTAATTTTATGTAAATTACATGAATATTGTTCTATACAGTCTCCATACTGGAGACACAGCCTGCCAAGATGGGGGAAGTTACTTGGAGTGGAGTCAAATAAGAAAGTTACAGAATTGTCATCCAGGGGAGATGAACAGGGACAGCAAGTGCACTTGTTAATAATGGGGATTAAGAAGAAGCAATTAGACTTGGGGTGTCAATGGCAAAATTTCTTGGAATACTTTTTAATAAAATGTATAAAAGTCCATCATAGGCTTTTAAGGTGAGGATCCATATAGCCCATGTAGACAGAGTAAGAGGTACACAGAGTATGAGGCACACCCTCCAGAAGCTCAGCAATGCACACACACTAAGAGAAAATGCAGGCTCAAAGCCATAGGAATAGTGAAGGCTGCAGGTTCATTTTTTGTTACCTCTCAGTTGTCAAGATGGCAGGTGTCTTAGTGTTTCTACTGCTGTGAAGAGACACCATGACCACAGCAACTCTAATAAAGGAAAAAATTTAATTAGGGTGCCTTACTTATAATTTCAGAGGTCCAGTCCACTGTTATCATGACGGACACTATGGTGGTCTTCAGACTGATGAGGTGCTGGAGTAGCTGAGAGTCCTGCATCTTGCAGGCAGCAGGAAGTAGACTGGCACACTGCATGCTGTCCTGTGCATAGGAAACCCCAAAGCCCGCCCCCACAGTGACATTACACTTCCTCCAACAAAGCCACAACTGCTAGTAGTATCACTCCCTATGAGACTATGGGGGCCAATCACATTCCAACTAGCCCAACAGGTGTGAACCTGCATAAAGATAGATGGAAAGTTCAGTGTGGTAGATACAGTCTAAGGACATGGTC